GGATGGGATTGGGAGGGAGGGAGGGCAGGCAGGCAGGCAGGCAGGCAGGCAGGCAGGCAGGCAGGCAGGAAACTTAGCAAGGTTTGCAAGCTTAGTTCACACTGTTGAAGTGTTGGAAGACTACTGAGCACAACATTAGAACTTTATAGATTCAGGGAAATTGGGGTACCGGATTTATATAATAATAAACCATAAAAAATAGCTTTACAGCTCTGCATGAAAAATGGGAGCATAATTATGTTCATAAATTTGTAAGATTCCGTATATGAGAGGTGTACAAAATTAATAGTTGATTTCCAAAAGGGAAATGATATTTATTGTTTCTGTGTGGTTATTTAGCCAGGCATGAGGAGATACCCAATTTTATTTTATTATCCAAATGAAGCTAGAAATTGAACTGTAAAGCAAAAGCCAAGCCAGGAGTCCCCCAACCCTTGCACAGGAGGAGGAGGAGGCGGCAAAGGTTCTCTCCTGCTTCCTGCCTGAGAACACTTTTGTTAGTCCAGGTGTGCTCCTGGCAGTCCAATTTGCCCCCGCAAGAACAGCTGCTGAAAGAGTTCGGCTGATGGGCGTGTCCTTGAGGGCGGCAGTAACAAACTTAGTGGGGCAGCCAAGGCAGGTTGGGGTATTTTGGGTTTCACTGGCAGCCCCTGCATTCTTCTATGCGGGGCCAAGACTGGTAGTCTTTCTGTGCCAATAATACTTTCCAGAGCTTTGTGCAAGGCAAGATAAAATTCTGTGGTTACTCTGAGAACCTTTCAGAACTTGTTGCTCTCCTGAATACGATTTCACTTATAGCAAAGGTTTTCTAAAAGAACAAGCCCAATTAGTAAAGAAATTTGCAATGGGTGCTAAACTGGTCCTTTACTGAACTTGGTGGAGCTGACTTGTATGCAGGCATGCATAGGATTTCATGTCTGGATTACACAATAATCCAAATCATGGTGTGGTGGTTCTGGACCAAGCCATGGATATAAATATTCTCTTACCTTGGCCATGTTAGTTTCCTTTATGAACAAGACTTCCAACCTATCACCCTGCTTAAAAAGGGCATAAACAGTGAAGCCGTCTGAAGCTTTGGATTTGCTTCCAGAAAGATGCTTCAGTCTGCAACTCATGAAGGCACTTATGCCTTGCCTTTGTTTGCTGGGGGGGGGCAGGGTGGGGAGGATCCTGGGAAAAGATGTGGTTGCCTTAAAGAGTTGTAAGAGGACTAACAGCCACCTTTTCCAAATTATTTCTGAAGCATTACGCAATTCTAATGAACAGCCAAAAGGCTTTTTCCATTCTGCCTTTGACAACATGCACGTTTGCAGGTTGAAACTGGGAGCATTTCGGCTATTTTCCAGGTGGGGTTTGGGAGCAAATAAAACTCACTGCCTGTATTAAAGGAGGAGTCCCAGGTGCCACTGGACGGCTGGCTGCCATTTCTTTTCCCACAAGTCTCCAAAGCAAAAATTTATGATGAAGAAATTCTAGGAAAAAAGACCTCGTCTCAGTTTTAGATATAAGCACATCAAAAGATGTACCAACATGGTGAGAAATAGACTTTAATTCTGGTGTGTTAACAGGAAATGAAAAAGGAGATAGTGAGGATAGGACTTTCTTCTGCAATAAAGAAGAGCTACTCTTTATTAAACTGTTCTGTGTTCATACCTTCTGTTGGTTTTAAAATGCAGTTATGTTTAGCTTCTGGTAATGATTTGCAAATCAATTTAAGTGTAATCAATAAATACATCGATTCATTCTTAGAGTGATATAACTGATCAACTAAAAATAGTTGCCAATCCTGTTATTAACTCATGTTTTATACATAATGATATGTATGCATACAGGGCTAAGAATGCTGAATGAATTTCACTTCTTGATAATCTGAAGATATACTGTAAAATAGAAGCACATTTGTTTTACAAACAACATGAGTGCTAGTGATGTGACAATTTAAAAGTCTGAAGGATGAAGTCATGTAGATAAAACAAAAGAATGATTGTATTTGTATGTGGGAGCTTCTATACTGCAAAATAATTTGCAAACATTAAATCAAACAAAACCTGCAATTTTATACCAACATTTTTATCTGCTTTCTGCCAGTATTTATGAGAAGATGATTCTTTCATCGGGATGCTAATAAAAGGGAAAAGTTACAAGTTCTCTACTATTGTTTACCTGTGTATGTATGAATCATGAGTCTACAGAATAATGAATTTGGCCATCAAATAGAGCTATCAAGTGATTTCAAATGATTTGTTTAAACGATTTGTCAGCAATTTAAAAATAGTCATTGGAAACAGGAGTGGGCCATTTCAAATTATGACTTTAACCTTGTTTTATTTCAAGGTTTGATGCAGAAAATACAAAGCTTATCCAAATGAAATCATCTACTTACATTGTGTACATACACTATGCTTTTCAATGAAATGGAAAACTAGTTAAAAGAAGTCATTCACCTTTTCTGTGAATTCAGTGAATTCCTTGGGTGGATTCTGCAGAATCCAAGTTGTAATCTGGATTAATCAATTGATTTCTGTATCACCTTCACCTGAGTGTTTTTCCAGCATAATTTATGCACAAATTTACATAAAAACAGTGGAAGAATTAAAAATAACTGTGGGAAAGGGAAACAGATATAAAGGCAGGAAAATGAAATATAGCAGCAGCAGCAGCAGCAGCAGCAATAATAATAATAATAATAATAATAATAATAATAATAATAATAATAATAATAATA